ATTTTTCACTATATATAATTTTTTACCAAAAAAATGAAATAAATGCGAAATACGATGTAAACTGACATCTACCTTTCAACTCCAGGGCCTACATCGTGGTTCAGCTGGAAGATGCGAACACATTTAAACAAACAAAACTGACCGAAAAAGCCTAATGAGGCTCATTTCAAAGCGTGGACCTACTTCTTTCATGTGACAATAATCCGTCCAATGAGAGCTCAAAATGCAAAATTCTTTGGGAGTACAATCAGTAAAATACCAAATATAATGGGTGGAAAATATAAAGGGTGGTAGAGCAAATGGGACTTTTAGTAAGAAAAGGATTTCTATCCTTCCAGAAATTCTTCGCAAACATTCAAGATACCTTAAATCACTTTTGCAGGTAATGATATTGAACACAATTCACGGATAAGGGTACAACCCGATTTCATATTTATATAACCATCGTATGATTTAAGCTATTTTTGGGGTGTTGGCCACTTTTTTCATTTTTCGGGCCCTTATTTGGCATCTTTGTTTCAAAGGGGGTAGAGGACCTCTTCGCATAAAACTTGAAATTTTCGGAGTAGGGCCCATATTGGTCTTGACCGCATTCATTAATTGATTTGGCTAAAAAATTGTATTTATGCTACCCTGGGGTAGGGAACCATCATACAAATAATTTCCACATAGGAATTTATTTAAGTAAAGTCTCCACATTGGAGTATCCCCAAGTCCACTTTCACATCTAATGTGTGGTCAGAAAAGAAAATTTTGTATTCTATTGAATTTGTAACCCCCAAGAGAATATTGGTTGGGAAGGTAGATTTGGGATGTACAACTATATGAAATAAATTGTGAAGACATCAAAAATTACAAATATAAGAAAGTAGCACGGGATCGAATATTTGTTGAATCGTCATTGAGTTATACTATGATGAAAAGTATGGACTTTATGGGGTCTCCAACTTACAATTTAAATGGCAAATAAAATTAATTCCCATCTTACGACAATAGGTGTAAAATAGTAATTATATTTGACTATTCTGAAATCATTCTGCCCTCGATTATGAGGTGGATAAAACTGTTTTTACTTATTTAAATCACGCGAATTTTTTTCGGTTTGATATGTTGATCTGCGATATTTTTGATTTGTCCTCTATTTGTCATCTTGGATTATAAGGGGTAGAAGAAACTTTTCAATGTAGGTCGATGTTTCGGAGAAGTGCCCATATAAAGGTACCTCATGATTTTACCATAATTCAAAGGATTTGGCTAAAAATGTGTATTTGGGGGGTGAAAATCAACATATCTACAAATTTTAGAATTTTCGCCACGTAATAGTAGCCCCTCAAGTCCACCTTTTGCGAACAAACAGACCGACATGGTTAGGGGGACTTATGAGGACTCTAATGCACAATCTTAAATCATTCAGCCCTCAATTATGAGGTGTACAAAAGACAGTAAATTCCAAATTACTGCTGATTTGACTGGAAAATTTTGTTACGATTTTTACCATACGAAAAATTAAATTGATACCTTACTTGGGGATAAGATTGATATATACTTTTTAATAGATTTGTACATCCACACATTTGAAGTCCTCGGTTTAAATATTGAAGCCCACGGCTTAAATATGGGTAAAGGTATTTTAAAACAATTCAATCGGCCAGTACGTGAACACTTATATCAGTCATATCTGTGAATAATTATGCTTTGACAAATATGCATAATAGACAAAAACTACGGGATATGGATATTTTTTTTTAAATATTCGTTCTACCCCGAGTTAGGATTTTATTCAAACAAAAAGTGACCACGCCCAATTTTGCGTCCATTTTTTCGATTTACCCAAAATCCTAATATTTGCCAAAATCTCGAAGATATATGTTCCACAGTTAGCATGTGACGTAATCTTGACTCTCACTCCAACCTTAGTTATCTGTTTGGGGTCGGAGGAACTGCCCACACCTACTTCTTTAAATCTGTATGTAAACAATTTTAAAAAGTATAGTAACACATTAGTTGAGAACGGCTGGGCCGATTTGACTCAAATTTTCTTTTGGTTATTTGTAATAACAGTGGAAACGTTTTCAAAGAAAATGTGAGAAAAGCCTCTATAAAAATCGCGGAACTGAAAAAAATGACTTTTCCATTTTGATATGGAGTTTTGTGTAGAATTGTTTCAAAATGCCTTCTGGGATTTAAAATTCTTATTAAAAAAACCGAAAAAATCGAGAAATTTTGCATATTTTCTATACATGACTAAAAAATACTTTTCAAAGCATCAAAACATTAAAAATCTCAATGCAATTTTAAATTGAGGCTATGCCAAATGGGGAACCAATAGTAGCCAGTTATTTCCGGTATTGATTTCACAATACCGAAAACTTGAAATGTCAAGTTACAGATACTTCGGTAGAAATTGTAACAAGAACGTGCAAAAGGATTAATTTTTAGTGGCATTATTATACCTAAACGAAACTGATATATTCCAACTTCCTAGGGATATTGTTATTTAGGGATATTGCCTTTATTGCGATTTCAACGAACGGCCGCATACACAGACAGATATAGTTTAATCGACTGGTAAAAACTAAATACCTTATAACATGATCTTCTAAAAGTTACGAATTCTAAAATTTGGATTTGGAAAATATTGCTAAGACTGATAATTGAGAATTGAAAATTTAATTAAATACGATGATATAACGAATATAAAGAGGTACTGGGGAATACAAAATAAATCATAAAGTGGACTTTTGTTGTAATTTTCTGACAAATGATTTATAACCTGAAAAATGCTTTTGAGCCCTTCAAAATACCTAAAATTTAGAGCACATTTGGTAGATGAATATTGGGAGAACAAATATATTCCTTTCGTAACATCAATAATCCTAAGAATAATATGTGCTAATTCTGAAAGACGCATATTACATTTCGTGACCTCTATCGTAATTGCCAATGGTAAATGAAGAGGCTCACGGACATAATTAAATCAACAAAGATTTCAACTTTTTAAATTCTTTATGAGGTCCCTAACTTTTATAAATAGATGAAACTTTATTTATGATAGTTAAAGTCATATTGCCAGGATTTCAATTTAGGAATTACTATCGATTCTGAAGTCCAAAACTGACTAGATATGGAAATCTAGTCAGTTTTTTTAGATATGGAAATAATCCATCCAATGAGAACTCAAAATGCAAAATTCATTGGGACTGCAATCAGTGAAATACCGAATATGAAGAGCACTGTTGTATGCGGACTATACAAAATAGTGGAGCAAATAGAAATTGATAGATAAAAATCTCCAAAAGGGGTTTGGGTCAAACGTTTTTAGGGTCCATTTTATATAGCTTAACCAAACACAAAGGTTCTCAAATATTTTGCTCCATACTTCGCAAATGTTACGATAGAGTTTTAAATTTGATACAGTCCTAGGGGTTTCATGAAGAATTAGTTGTACAAAATATGTATCAGGTCGGTCTAAATTGATGTAGTCCCTCAAATGATGCAGCCCGTTTCAAATTCCTCAAAGGTTGGTAATTTGAGATTTTATAATTATGAGAATAGGACCATGCTTTGGTGTAACCCAAAAGGTATCCGCTGATTTCGGCTATTTCCAGCGTCAATTGATTTTACCATTATTTGACATCTTAGCTTCTAAGGGGTGAAGACCTTTTCGCGGAAACTTTATATATATATACATATATATATATATATATATATATATATATATATATATATATATATATATATATATAACTTAATGTTTTTTCTTGTTTTATTTTTATCTTGTTTTATATTTCTTAAAAAATTCCTATTCGACTATATTTGAGACACGATAGTCGGTCAGAAGTTGCAATCCTTAATACCACGTTCATATTGTTATTTTATTCACGTTGATCGCTCTAAAAATTACGTACACGAATTAATACGTTAAAATCGCATGAATCGTAATTTATAGGCCGGTTTCCGGTCTTTCCGAAAGATAGAAACATGATGTTGTCGGACAAATAAATATTTTTTCATTATTACAAGTTTCATTTAACTACTGTACAATAAGCAAAATGGGAGACCATCCTCCCTTCATCTTTTAAGTTTATTGAATTCATGTTGCTATATTTTATATTGATAATATGACAATAGCAGCAAAATTTATTCAAGTAGAAAAATCGATAGTTTACGTTTTAAATTGTTTATTTTATATTGATTGACTGAATTAAAGATTTATTTCACGAAATTAATAACAAACTCGTTTTGTCTATTTTTTAACAATAATGAAGAAGTCACTGGAAAAAATGGAGTCACTTTACTATAAATTACATTTACATTTTATTGTTTTATTGAAAAATTATTTTATTTAAAAGTAATAACAAAACTGGACTAAGAGGAAAATATATAAGAACGCATAGTAGTATAATTTCCTTTGCTACTTGTTCTTTCTTGATTTTTAAGGCATTTGAACGCGCACTGACTTGAAGAGCAGAAACAATTGTTTTTTTCTTTTCAAAAAGTATTGTATCATTAATTTCACACTTTATATTATTATTTTTCTGAAAATAGTGACTTTTTAAACATATGTTTTTATTTTTCGTTTACAAATTCACTGGAGCGACAACTGTAAAATATATTTTTGTCGAAACATGAAGTCATAAAACTTTTTGCTTCCTGGTTGTAGATTATAGTCAAATACAAAACTTATTGCGCCATCACTCTGAAGTTCGACCTACGTATTCTGTGTTCTCAGTTTTAGTAACCAGGATAGGTATATATTATGAGAATTGATTTTGCTTATCTGTTGTATGTGTTAACGTATTTTGCAACCACCAAGTTTTATATCATAGGCCTAATAAATGTAAATTTGTTTTTTTTGCCAAAAAGGTTCATTGCTATTGTATTTGTACTCATGCATGGGAAAATTTAATAGTTATATAAATTATTATTCACTTATATGATGCAATTTAAAGCGAAAAAGTTGCAATATTTACAAAAGTTACACAATAATTTATTTGTAGGTCAATTAGAGCTTTCCAGGAGATATTGTATATGAATTCTCACTATCCTTGTTCCAATGATATACATCTACGCCTTGGTTTTATGCATAAAATTCTTGGAAATTATAAGTCATCAATAAAACATTACACCCTTGCCCTCATCGATTCGTCACCATGTACATTTACAAAACAACTCAGTAAGTATTTTAAACATTTATTTGATACATTATAAATAATACTAAAATTTTTGACCAAATTTTCATAACACTCCTTTGTCTGAAAGATGGTCCTTTGTCATTCATGCCGACAGGGTTTATACCAGATTTTAAGCAAATATGGATTTGGGATGAAATTATATGATAATGTCAATCTAAACATTACTTGAAATTCATGATATTCTTTTTGTAATTTTTAATAATTGTCCTTGCGAGGGCGGTTCAGCTAATTATTTAATATTTTGTTATTTTTTATCTTTCATGTTTTAATTTATTTCGACCTGGGTTTCAAATGCTAACGCTAATTGCACCACCAATTGCATATTTTTAATATAATCCCAAATATATTTTCTTTGAATGGCAAAACATTTGGATAAAAACATGTTAAAATCCCATGTCTACTAACTATGTAACAATATAAGCGTTGACATGTTTTTCAATAATTTTACTCTCTTCTCAAACAGTCATGAAATAACTATTAGTAGCTAAATAATTTTTTTTTCAGTTTCATTCCATATTAGTTATTTAAACATTCAGCGACTAACAGCACTAAAAATACTTTAACGAATTTGGATGTTGGCAATGGAAATGATGTTATGATAATATATTTGTTTGTTACTATTATGCTACAATTTTAAAATATTTTTTTTTGGTATTCAAGTTAAGGAATTGCAGTAAATGATTTATTTACAGTTCGTTTTCATGTCGCTCACCTTTATGAAGTTCAAAATAAGTATAAATCAGCAAAGGAGTTGTATGAACAATTGCTTAACGAAAAGGAGCTGACATTGGAACTCAAAGCTGCAGTATATAGACAATTAGGTAAGCATCGTATAGTGGTAACGTTTGAATCTTTTATAGTATTTAAATTACAGGATGGATGTATCACTGTCATGACTATTTTGGTGAAAGAAAGCAACGTGAATCGTATGCAATTCTCTGTTTGCAGAAATCAATAGAAGCCAACCCAAAATCCGGACAATCTTTATATTTGCTGGGTCGATGTTATGCCGGCATTAACAAGGTCCATGACGCATTCATTGCTTACAGAAATTCTGTAGAAAAAAGTGAAGGGAATGCAGACACATGGTGTTCAATAGGGTGAATATTTTTAAATTTATATACCACTTTCGACAAAAAAGTATTTCTATCTTAATGTTTATATTTATGTTCCATCATTTATATTTTTTACATCATAAGTAGCATTCATAATAAGTTTTACAATTTAAAATATTGTGGAGTCCATGTTCTGAAAACAAGGATCTATTTCCCTTCTTTAAATTGTTTACATCAACATTATATAATTATATGTGTACCTTCCCAAGTTCGTTAACTTCGTATTGTCAATGTTCCAACATTGCATGTTATTCAAAATAGCGAGATGTTGCACAACCTAGTGCTTTCGCATAAAACAAAAACGAAGCCGTCTTTTGTCTTAACAAGGCGATGTAAATTTCATTAACATATGATTCGTTGCACTTTTGGGCCTGGACTTCAACTCTGTAGAAGATCCTTATTTTGTTTAAATCATGCAACAATTGGTTCTGATTACTTAACAGTTTTTCACCAATTGTTTTGAATCGAAGTAAAACAACTACTTCGAAAATGTATCTTTTCCTTATAATTTAAAACAATACACACATATACAAACTTTGTTGTTGTTGTTTTTACAAATGTGCCACGCATACTTCTAGCTTAGTTAAGAAGTATTTACTGAACAGGGGAAGTGTTTTTTTCTACGTATAGTGAAAATATAAAATACCACAGTAAAGTCGGAAAAAAGACTGAGGAAAAATAAAAAAGTACAAGGATATGAGTAAGAAAGTCTACCAAAGTGAAAGAAGAGCAATGTAAGTTTTTCTCGATGTAACCCTTGTACTTAGCAGTGCTTATCGAATTCGAAGGTAATAGAAAACTAATCTCAACGTCTATTAACTTTTTGAAGATTTTAGTAGAAAGGATTAAAAACTAATAGACCTGTAGTCCTTTTGCAAGTGAATCACTTTTTCCCATCTTTGGTAATGTAAGTGACGTTGACTTCCATTTATAGTGCTGGAAAGTGCGATGATATATGCAAGCAAGCCTAAGATCTCCTCCAGAATTGGCACTGTCACCGTCGATGTGTGCTGCAACATGGCGGGAATAAAACCAAATGCACCAGATGATTTGAAAGGTTTGAAGTTGTTGATAGCCCACATGATTTTGATTTTCATCCTCAGCCGTACAGTGCCGATTACGTTGATTGCCGATCGTTTCTCAATTTGGAAAGTGAGTGCTGGCTAACAGATTGAGAGTCCATAGACCGTAGTCAGTCCACGTACTATCAAACCGCTTTATGCTTCCAATGGATTTAGGATCATTTGAAGCAAACCCATAATTTTCGTTTGGATTTTTTGATCTCACTGTTATTCTATTGAGGGGACAACCTTATATCCGTACAATGTTTGGTCTTGTTGATCCTGTTGTATAATCGTCTACTTACTTTCTAAGATTAGCTAATGTTTGGACCACCAAACTGGTTTGAAATTTGTTGGTAACAGACAAATATTCAAAACACTTCTTCCTGTGTATATCAATAGGACAAGTAAAATTACATAGGGTCATCAACTGTCTCTGATTCCACATTTCCCAACTCTCACAAGAAACGCCTTCTCGCCAAAGTTGGCGAACACGCAGAATTTGACAAGCATTGGTCCCAGAAATGACCTCCAAACAATAGTTGACATAAGACATTAATATAGATCTGGCTACCATCATTCTAACACCAAGAGGCAAATGAGATTGAAGACTATAGAGCCTTCTATACTGAAAACGCGCACGAGACAGCAAAGTGTCAATATGACCTGAAAAATTAAGCTTGGTGTCAATGACTACACCTAAACATCTCATCTCACCCACAAGATTAACCACAAAGGAGCCAACACAGATGCACGGCATAGGAACATAACTAGGACTATTGAACAGAACAGCTTCAGTCTTAATCTAATTAACAGACAAACCATTAGAGTTATTAATGAACATAATAAAAAGCAGAGGACCAAGCACAGACCATTGTGGGACACCACACCGAAGAGCACAAACATCAGACTTATCATCTGACAAACTGACATCTTCCACCCAAATAGACGATATCAATCTACATGAAGAAAGAGGGAAACCAAAGTTGTATCTCAGCTTACAGAGCAGAAGCGTATGATCCACGGAATCAAAGACATTAGACAAGTCAAGGCCAACAAGCAAACCAACATCAGAATCATTGAGCACATCACGAATGAGATCAGCGAGGATTAAAAGATGAACCGCAGTGTTAGAACCACGCCGAAACCCAAACTGAGAACAGCTCAAACACTTATGGCCATCCAGAAACTCAACAATAGCATCTTTAATAACATGCTCAACTATATTCGACATAGCCGGCATTATGCTTATTGGTCGAAGATTCGTCTGCTGACAAGAATTCCCCCTCTTCGGCACAGGCACTACACGAGCAACCTTCCACGCAAGCGGAATGTTTGGCATAATAAAAATACAATTTAAAAAATGCAAGGAAATAAACATTAATGGATCTTAATAGGTATGCCATCAACGCCTACAGCATTTGAATTAACATTCCGCAAAGCATGCAACAAATCTTCCAAATACACACAGTCAAATCTGAAGGAATCTAAACCATTGGCCCCACTAACCACAAAATCCCGAGACGAACTTAAATTACCAACACTACAAAAGTAATTGTTAACAGCATTGACATCAATAAATGGAACATCACAACCATCATCAATACAAACAACATACGACCAAACATTTCCTCATAAAATTTTCTTCTTTCATTACGCATGACAGCCTTACAGCAGTTTCTGTACGTACACAATATCTGCCTGTTGCGAACCGTAGGACGCCTACGCCTGATCTTTAACGTAACAGGCCGACCTTACCACATCCAACCCCAACTAAGCATCATATTTGGGCGAATACAACTGATGGCAGTACCGACAACGATTTTTGAAACAACAAATCAAACAAGCCAACTGCTGGTCAACATCACTCGTAAGATACAGAGGACTAAAATCAAAATTGCAACTATAATCTTCCACACCCCGTCAGTCAGTCCTATCAAAATCCAGCCAAGGCTTAAGAGGCAAGGAAAAATCAATCAACGAGGCAGTGCCACGGGCAACATCAAGGTGCGTTGGACTGGAATTGTGCACAATGGAAAACCCAAGAGATCTACTCATTAATAAAACGAAATGAGGCAACATCCCCACGAGGTAAGCAGACAACAGTAAAGAGCACCAGGCACACAAAGGACCACACCCACAACATTATTCTCCGAACGAAAAACCACCTTATATGACAAATTATCACGCACATATAAAAGTACACCTCCGCAGGGTAACAACAAGCAGCCATTTCTAGTCATCAACCTTACGATAATATCTAGACGGTCGCAAACTTTAGGTATTCAAATGACCATACGTAAGTTTACCATGGAAGCAAGAAGAGGCATGCCTCAAAAATTGAGCATCCCCAATCACAGGCCCGGGACGTAAAAATCAAGAAAAAGGCTGCATCAGTTCAAGAAGTTAGAAAAATTATAGAAAACAATAAAATAAGAATAAATATTGTATGATATTGTTACGAATATAACTTTAGATTTAAGTTAATTTAGATGAATTCCGTTAATTTAAGAATTTGAATTGTAACGTAAATTTCTACTACGCAGTTTATTTGAATAACTTCACAACAACAACTACTGTATAGATTTTTCTACATCCTTCCATTTCCTCTTTCATTTTCTATTTTGTTGCTGACGTACAATTCTTGTTAAACGTCATCATTAATGATCGCTTAATTCCTCTTTCTTTGTTACCCCCTCGCCTGTGTATGTGTTGTTGTTATTGTTCACTCAATGTAAGTTTGTATGTGTTCGTTGCATTGGTAGATTGTTCGTAATCTAGGCGTTACCAGATCGTCTAGAAACTTCTGTAGCGACAGGCGAGGCTCATATAAATAGGGGAAATGGAAAGGCAGTTAGTCAGTTGTGAATCAGATCGCGAATTGAAACTGTCGAGTAAAATAAAGTGCAAAGTAAAGTTGTGTGAATAAAATCATTGTAATAATCGTAATCCGAAAGAACCCGCGTTTTATTTGGTACGAGCTGTATTGGGAAATAAAACAACGTCTACACGGGATTAAGTAAAATCCAAGAACGTAACAATTGGTGTCGGAAGTGAGATTACGATAATACTACGATGAAGTTTAAGGATCTACGAGTGGAAGACTTGAAGAAGGAACTTAATAAATTGGAATTGTCCTCTACTGGCAACAAGGCTGAACTACAAAAACGTCTGTTGGATGAGTTCGAGCGCCGTGGTATGAACATCGATACATATGAGTTTGACAGTAAGGATGAAGTGGATTTATCGGAAATGGGCGAATATAACGGTGGGGAAGTCTCGTCAGTAGCTGCCAGGGGTGACGATTTCAGAGAAATGCTAGCCAAAATGTTTGAGGAAAATTTCAGAAGAGTCGAAGAAAATTCGAGAATAACGAACGAGAAACTCGAGTACATTACAAAAGTTATTGGAAGGAGAATGGAAACCGTGGAGGTCCAAATTAAAGAGTTGGATAAGAAAGTGCAGTCGGTTGACGAGAAATTTCTGTCCCACGACCATAGGGTTACAAATCTGGAGAAGAAAATTTCGGAACTGGAAATCAAAGGTGGTCCGGTGCGAGTTCCTGGTAACACACTAAAAATCAAACCTCCTGTATTCGACGGCTCTACGTCATTCAATGTTTTCAAGTTACAGTTCGAGACAGTGGCTTCTAGAAATTCGTGGAACGACAGCGACAAAGCGGTTGCACTACTTCTGGCATTGAAGGGCAGTGCTGCTGATGTTATACAGAGTATTCCTGTCGCTTCTAGAAACAATTATGAAGATGTTATTGCTGCACTGGAACGTAAGTACGGTGACGAACATAAACGAAACATCTACCTTATGGAATTAAGGGGAAGAGTACAGAGGGCAAACGAGACGTTACAAGACTTTGCAGCTGAGGTGGAACGTTTGGGGCTAATGACGTATCCAGGAGAGGATCAC